ATTAATGAAGGTAAAAAGGATTAATTTTTAAATAATGGGTAATAGTAAATTAAATTTCAACAAACTTATAGAAAAGGCATTTGAGAAAATCGAATGTCACGTATTCGATTAATTCAGTCCAAACTATTAAAATAAAATATTGAAATGAAAAAATTTGATAATGCATTTTGTGCTAAAAGTTAGGACCTATCCATTATTTGATAAGCTTGCACAGTATAACTCATACCTAGTATACCATAGGAAAGACACAATGCCTTGTTTGCTTACATTCATTGACTCCAAATATAGGTCAACGACAAGTAATATTCTCAACCTATTAAGTCCTAGGTTGGGGGTATTACACACTAGGAGGTATAGGAAGATAATTCCATAATTTTTGATGCATAAGGTGAGTTATAATCCAAATGAGAGTTCGGATGAGAATGAGTAGACTTTCATCACACTTACCTCCAAATCTCTCTATCTATATTCTAAGTAGGGTTTTAGCTTGGGTCTAGAGCTTATGCGAGCTTTCTTTATGGTGTGTACAACAATGCAAAACAAATATCCAACCTAGTTCATCGTAAATATATAAATGAAAATAAATTACATAAAGTAAATAACTTAAAATTAAATAAATAATAAATAAATACTTAGAAATAAAGAACTTGGATATAAATGGTAAATGAAGGAAATAAACTTCAAAAATACTAAACCTATTGCCTAAGTCTAAATCCCTAATGGAGCCGTCAAACTATCGTTATCCGACATTTAGGGGACTTTCAAAAATTCTATTATGAAATTATTTGTTTGTTTATATATTAGGGATGTGAGTTAAACCACGTTTTGGAGTCGTCATCTAGCATTAAAGGAATTAGGAAACCTAGAAAAGATGCAAGTTTAAAGATTCTAGGATAAGGAATTAATTATACCTTTAGCAAGATATCAATCATTCAAAAACACATTTTCGAGAAAATGTACCATATATGGTCTAATCCTAAAAGTTTATCTTCTAAACATTTCCACTCTTGCCAAAATTATTCCTAAGTCAAAATTCCTAGTTTATTATCTAAGTCAAATTAATTTTTTTATTTTTGTTTGTAGCTTCGTATTGAATTGATCGTCGGACTCCATTGTCGAGATTTTCATCAATTCAACATCGAATTTAATTTAGATCTTGATATGACTCGGTATATCAAAGAATGACTTAATTACTAAGGTTATTTAATTCAATGATAAGATTAGTTTGTATCGGATAACAAACTTGTTATAATTAAACTAGTAATTTTCTATGTATTTTTTCTTTTTCCTTTTTTTCTTTTCTTTTTATGTCTCTTTTTTTCCTATCATTTTTATTTTCATTCTTTTTATATTTTTCAAGGTTAGTGGAGAATTGTCACCAGTCTCTAACATTTAAGAGACTTGATGATCCACCATCATATTAATTTTCTAATTAAATCAATGAATATTAAGTAATGTTTAATGCTCAATAAATCTAAAATTATTTTGCGAAATTAAAAGATTTAACACACAACCCATATATAAGCCTAAAATCATTCAATAAAAACTTCGAGTTTAAATAACATTAAAAAATAAGCTAAATTGGAATTTAAATAATTAAAGCAATTAACAACTAGGTATGAAATTAAATAAATTCAAAATAAAGAGATAAATGAACTTTAAAAATGTTGAAAAATTAAGCTTAAACTAAAAATGACCTTATGTAACACATAAAAATTTCAGATTAACTTTAGTAAGGAAAACTAGTTAAATAAATTCTAACAGTTTGAAAACCCATTGAGCTCTCAACTCATTGGGCCAAGCCCATCAGGCTCACTTTCTTTTTTGACCAGCAAATCTCGAGCCTAAGCCTACTGAGACCAAACTAAACCTAGACCTAACACAGCACAGCCTAAGCTAACAAGACCAACATAGCTTAGCTGCTTAACCAGCCCAAACCTCATCCCCCCACCCCTTTTTTCTCTCAGCCTCGTGTCCTCTTATTCTTCACCCTTTCCTCGTTCTTCTCTTGTTCAATGTCTACAGTCACTCACCTCTCTACCTTTCCTCTCCAAACGAACTCAGACCCAACTTCCTAGGATTAAACCCTCTCATCCCTCTTCTCTTATTCACTCGACAAGCTTAAACTAGTGGGGGGGGGGGGGGATTGGTTAATTGATGGTGTTGCATGATGATAGTGACAAAGCCAGTGTCGTTTTTTGTTAGTGAACAAACTAGAGGTAAAACCCCAGTAATTAGAAGCAAATAACGCGAAAAAGATAGAGACTTTACTTGGTGTGCTTGATTGATGAGTTTGGGTTGGGATGGGATGAATGGATGGTTGTGAGGTTGGTTATCCCCTGTTTCAAATACTCAGGATTTCCTTCTTCAGAACCCCAAAAATTACCCTTTGTAAATCTAGGAAACCCTTCTATGAAACCTAGGAAACCCTATCTAAATCTAGAATTTATTCTATAGACCTAAACCCAAAAAAAAAAAAAAAAAATCCCCAAATTCCTCCGTTAATATCCCAAAAATTTTTCTCCTCCCCAAAAACCTAACTCTCATCAACCCTAAGATCATCCCCAATTAATCCTAGTCCTTCCCGCAAAAAATCAAAGAAAAAGCTCCAGTAATTTGGCCATTTCTGTACAGAGCAAAAATCAGTAAACAGAAATATTTTGGGTAGGTGTGGTGTAGGTGTAGAGTGTTTATTCTGATGCAGGTATGGTGCTGTACCAGCCAAGAATCCCTAATTTTCTGGACAAATTGTCTTCATTGAAAATGATGAATAGTACAATTGAGGGGGAGTGTTTTTGCTGTGGAATTTGCGACAAGTCGTTCGGAAAACGTTTGAATTGGTTCTGTCGTTCACTCCTTTCTTCAGTTTTGGTCTCTGTGTGTTTTAATTTTGCCTCAATTGTGCCCCTCAAGCATGATGTTTTGGTCCCTGATTCCTTCAATTTTGTTTGCAATTGTATCCCTACATTCTTTAATTTCAACCCTAATACTTTTAATTGTTTCAATTGTATCCCTATTTGTTCCCAATTGCATTTCATTTCCATTCACTTGAACCTCCAAGACTTTATGATACATTTTCTTGTTTATGACCAAAATAAAAGGATCTTAAAATTAAAATGAAACTAAATAAAGGATAAAATGAAGTAAAAATAAAAGTAAAAACAATAAAAAATAGGATAAAAATAAAATAAACTATATTACAAATGATGATAATAAATAAAGGATAAATAGAGAAAATAACAAAATAAAAAAATATACAAAATGAATTTAAAGCAAAATTTGAGTCATGACAATTATAATTTTTATGTTTGAAACCCAAAAGAGATAAATGTTTTATGAGTGCATGAGCATGAGTGATGAGCATTTATTAAGAGCATCTCTAATGCTCTCTTTATATTAAGATTTTTATTTAAAATAAAGAGGTTTAATCCAAATTCCATCTCCAATGCTCTCTTTATCACAATCTCTATTTTTAAAATTGAGATACAGAGTGTCTTTGGCTCTCAAATACTGTAGAGTTCAAATGACTCTTTATCTTATATTTCATTAATAAAAATTATCATTTCTTTGTCACTCAAACTTCTTCACCAATAAGTCTTCCGGGTTTTATGGATTTTGTCAAAATAAAGAGTTAAAGTAGAGAGCAGCATTAGAGAGAACATTGATCTTTAATCTATGTAATTAATAGTGCTTTCTATTTACATTAAAAATACTAGCTAAAAGTAGAGAGCACCATTGGAAATGCTCTAAAAACTTAACTAAAAATAAACGTAATTTTAATTGCAAAAACAATAATTAAAAAAATATCTATATTGTAAAATTTTATTTTAAAAGTTCATCTACACGGTGGGATTTAGCGTGTATATATCAAACAACTAGTATGCCCAAAATATTCTCTTAAAAAAATACTTATGAATGATTCTCTATAAATAAGAAAAGAAATTTTTCATCTCTAAAGACATAAAGTAAAAATTAAGAGAAAAGATTTTTGAGATATTGGGTCCATGAAATTTTTTTGAAAGTTACCAACATCAACCAATGGCATCTCAAATTTTTAAGAGAGGTTATCAAATACTCTATGTAAATATGAATTCTTTTTTGGGTTAATCCCTTCATTCATCTTTATAGAATATGTCAAATTTCTAACTCTGTTTTTAAATTAAAAAAATATTTTTAATCTATTCTTTTTATTTGAATTGGTTTTTAATCTATCTTTTTAGTTAAAATTTTTAGCTAAATTAAACATGTGACTTGATAAAAATTAGCTTTGTTTTTTTTGACACAAATGATCTATCTACATTGATATGAAGATTAATTTATGATGAATTAGCTAAAAAATTTAAACAGAAAAATAGATTAGAAAACAACTCAAATAATATGAACAAATTAAAGATGGTTTTTAAATTTAAGAATAAATTAAAATTTTAGTTTATTATATAAAAATAAGTAATGATATTAATCTTTCTTCTTTTATACGAATAGGAGAAGTATGCGGTATGAGTGCTCCATAATTTTTCAACTTTAGAAACTAATATCTAATTATATATTAATTCAGATTCCATATGATCATCTTGGATTCTATTTAAAAAATTATAAAAATTAATTTGTAGTTGACATATGAAGAGCATCTTAGCAAAGGTCCCAACTAGCCTTGCTATAAAAAACCAATCCGGTTAAAACCCTCCAAAAATAAATAAATAATGGAAGAGGAGAGGAGAGAGAAGAAAATAAAAAACCGGCATTCCACATGTGGCTCCATGTTGCTTCTTCACGTGTGATCCACAGCCACACAGAGTCACGTCACTCACTCTTTGTCTAGTTGATTTTAAACGTCACTCGTCGGCGGAAGTTAGACTTTGCTAACGTGTACCACCACAAAAAAACCGCCTTTTTCAAAACAGCAAAATCAATTCTCTAAAAAACGTCATCGTTTCTCAAACCCCTAACACAAAAATCACATTTCTCATCCAATCAATTCAATTTCTCCCAAATAGTTTCTCATGGGGACAATTAAGCGATTACCAGAGCCAGTACGCAGTACGATGCGTTCAGGGATCGTGGTGTTTGATTTAACAAGAGTTATAGAGGAGCTTGTTTTTAATAGCTTGGATGCTGGTGCTAAAAAGGTACAATTTTTCATTTTTCATTGTGGGAATTTGTGTATATGAGATGAAAACAAGTTGGGTTTCTTTTTTAAATCATGGTTATCTTGTTGTTTATGCAAGAAAGGTTTTAACTTTAGCCAATCAAGGGACAAAATCTGTTTTTTTCCTTCATGTCTACAACGCATTTTGTTATAATGTTAAAAAATGTTGGGTTTATGAGAAATGCTGGTTATTTTTGTTGTTTATGCGAATGGAAGAGGGGGGGGGGGTTGCATTATGCAATTCAAGGCACAAAGTTTCTCATGTAATTTTTTTTTTTTTTTTTTTTTTAATTTGTTGTAATGCATACGAGGTGACTATGTGGGGGTTATGAGAAGTAATGACTGATTTGTGGTTTCAGGTTTCGGTTTACGTGGCTGTTGGGGCGTGCTATGTGAAAGTTGCTGATGATGGTTGGTTAAAGATATTTTTTTTTCTTTTGCAAGGTTAAGGTTATATAGAATGTCTTAGCAGAGTTGTGGCTGTGTTTGTAATTTTGTGTGCTTGCAGGATGTGGGATTTCGCGGGACGGATTGGCATTGCTGGGAGAAAGATATGGTAGCTAAATTTTGTTTTTATTTATTTTTTTTGATATGATTTCTTGGTTGGTAATACAGAGTAAGTCATGTTTGTTATGTGGGCTTTTGACCTTGAAATTTGTGAATTTACTTTTTGGGAAAATGTAGCTAATGTTTGGAAGAGGGTTAAATATGAGCATCATATGATACCTGTAGAATACATATGTGGGATTATTTGTAAGGGTGGTTTGACTTGCAAAATTTGCTAGAGATGTACCATTGTTTTTGAGTTTGATATATATTGTTGTAACTTTCAATTGGAAACCATGTTGTTTTCTCTGATTGTGAACATATAAATTCAAAATCAATTTAAAGTGATAAAATTGATTGTAACATTGCTAGGCTCTGTTTTTTATAAGAGGATAATCGATGGCTAAAGACTGGTATGCTCCAAGCACTTTAATAGAAGACTAGCAGAGAATAATGTATCTAAATCGCAAATCAAGTACTTATTGTAATCAGAACACTTAAAGTGGGAGAACATAAATGTAAAACAGCTAGGTTGATGTCATGTGATCTTTATTTGTTGTCGAGATATGTAATGATGCATGGGTTTCTCTAATGTGTATGCAGTAACTTCAAAGGTTCAACGTATGGCTGACATGGATGTTGCTAGTGGAAACTTTGGCTTTCGGGGAGAAGCTTTGTCTTCTATTGCTGATGTCTCAGTGTTAGATATTGTGACAAAAGCTCGTGGGAGGCCGAATGGATATCGCAAGATCATGAAGGTCTGTATGATTCATTAATTCACTTTTTTCAGCTTGAGTCCACATTCTTGCTGCTAAAAATGTAAGATTAACATTCTTCCAACACTACGCTTTCCAGGGATCTAACATGGCTCATTTTTTCAGTTTGAGTCCACATTCTTGCTGCTAAACTTGTAAGATTAACATTCTTCCAACACTACTCTTTCCAGGGATCTAAGTGTTTGTATATGGAAATCGATGATCATATTAAAGATGTTGGGACGACAGGTGATACATTATTTTGTTTGCTATTGCATTTAGCAAGTAGAGACTGCTTCCCAGCTCATGGATCTGTTCATGCTTTTAATTGATTCAAATATCCCTCACTCAGTATTTCCCTGTCTTTTGGCAGTTGTTGTTCGCGATTTATTTTACAACCAACCAGTTCGGAGGAAATGTATGCAATCCAGGTATCTTTTTGGCCTATTCTCATTTCCTTTTGCCTCTTGAAGAAATGGTTCTGAGCTGCCTCAAAACCAGTACTTTTCATATTGAATCATTGACTTGATGCTCTTGTCGCTTGCATTGCTGAATTTGAAGCCCCAAGAAGATCTTGCACTTGGTAAAAAAATGTCTACTTCGTATTGCTCTTATGCATTCACAGGTTTCCTTCAAAGTTGTTGATATTGAAAGGTATCTAGTAATTTCATTTTCAAATTGGAGCTTTTTCTTTTTCTTTTCTTTTTTAACATAAGTGGAGCTTGTATGGTTGCTGTATTTGTTTTTGATATCTTGTGTTCGTAAATGCAGTGAGGAGGAGCTTCTCTGCACACATCCATCTTCTGCATTGTCGCTGTTGATGAGCATTTTTGGGATTGAATATTCCAGCTCTCTTCATGAACTGAATATTAGTGATGGTGTATTAAAGCTTTGTGGCTATGTATCTGATCCTTGCAGTAATTTTTCCATAAAGGTACAATTTATAACTATGTAGTCACGGAATTCCTTTCCCCTTTATCCCTTTATCACCTGGTTTCTCATTCATCATTGTTCTTTTTGCAGGCTTTCCAATATGTTTGTATCCATCTCTGTGTATGCATATCTTTTTGGATCATGTGAGTTGGAGAAGAATGACTGTTTAGTTCATTTTGTTTTTAACCTTAACGATAGCAGATATCAATTCACGGTTTGTTTGCAAAGGTCCAATTCACAAATTGCTAAATCACCTGGCCTCTAGGTTTGAGCATCCAGATCCACAAATGTCTAACAGTGTGTCTCAAAAAGGAAAGAAAAGCAGGCCTCAACCATGTCCAGCTTATATTCTAAATATCAGTTGCCCTTTATCTCTCTATGATTTAACATTTGAGCCATCAAAGACACATGCTGAATTCAAGGTAACGCTGTTCTTGTCTGATAATGGATTGTGATTGCAGTGCACTGATTTGCTTTGCGAGGTTTATGGGTTATAACAGCAAATTCATCACATTTTATTTTGACCTCCCAGATCTTGACTTATCTGGATTCCCTAATGCTGCATCCAATCCCCCTGCCCCTGTTCCTTGAGAATAAGCAGCTTCTCTGGCATCATTACCTAGAACGTGATGCTAAGAGTCTTTGCTGTGTGAGCGGGAGATTCTTAGTTTGTGATATTACTAAACAAGGAATGTATTTCAAAACAAAATAAAAGGCACAAAAGAGTTAGCATGTGGTAATCTATTGTTGTGTGTCATTGTCAAAATCATGTCTGTCATAGGGATTTTAATTTGTTCAAACCTGAACCAGAAATTTTTTTTTATATAATTCAACCTTATCATGACTTTTTCTTCAATAAAAATGGGTTTAGAAATCTGATGCGCAATTCTTTTATCAGCATAATTGAGTGTACGGCTATTCATGCAATACTGCATGAATATTTGTCCTCTGAATGAGCATGGTTATGAGACCAACATGTTGCTTTCTGCATGCTAGCTAGAAGTATTTCAAGCATATATGTGCTGCTAGAAGTTCACCCACAATAGGAGCTTTCTAGTCATTACTTGTAACTCACTGTCATTCTTGAAATTTTTATGTTGTCGCCACACAATCATTGAGTGATTATAAAATCTGTGATTTAATTTTTGCAATGCTGAGATTCTTCAACCCTTTCCCCAGGATTGGAATCTTATCCTTACCTTCATTGAGAAAGTCATGCAACAACTCTGGATGGAATCTACCATTAATGGTATGCTTTCGTAGCTATGTGTTGCCTTAAATGATTGTGTGTTCGTATGATTGTTTCTAAATTTTTTGCTTGAACTTTTAAATGTTTCTAGGAGAATCCTCAACACATGCAGCAGATTCATTCCAGAAAAATGACATCTGGCAGGAAGGTAACAATATCGCATTGGCGGAACAAGGTATGCTTCTATTGTTTATTGCCAAACATTTACGTACCAGTTTCCACTTATATTTCTCATGCTGTTCAGATTGGATGCGTTTTCTTTTATATGCAGAAGTGGTTTGATTTGTCTCGACACCTGAAGATCTTTTTGTTGCTACATCTTTTTGATGCAGATTTGTCTGGATTTGCAATCAAGAAATGTGAGGTTAAAAATCACCTGTCTTCTCATCACCTCCTTTCTTCCCCTTTGACGATGCTAACCAAAGAGGTGGACCATCTTTTTCATGGGAAGCATGATAAAGTTCCACGTCAAGAATTCTACTCGAATGTTTCAGAACTTGAAGACGAACAGGCTGATATGGAATATGTTTTTCAGAGTGACTACATGGCAACTGCAACCAAAGAAAATTTTTTATTGTCAGATGATTGCTTCTTGGAAGATAGTTTCAATACCAGGGAAAGATTCAGTGATTGCATCGAGAGCCATTTCTTAAGCTCAGAGTGGCAAAACGAGTCCCCTAAAATTGAATCTGTGGCAAGAAATATATCTCTTGTGAGTGTTTTACCCTTTGATCATTGTGAATTACCATTTAGCAATAGTAATAAAAAACCCATGTTACAGAGTTGCTTATCGCAGAGAAGCCTGTCACATGATAGGGATTTGTTTGCTAGCAAGGAAGCATTTGAATTTCTTGATGATTGCTACAAGAACAAAAGAAGACGGCTTTGCTCAGATGAAAATGTTGGTATCCCAGAAGGCGATCAGAGATTTGATATCTTTCCATGTGCTTGGCAGCAGGACGAGGCATCATATGCTCAGCAGTTGCATGCAGATATTGATAGAGCTGAGATGTCTGCAGATTTTGATCTCCTGTCAGGAGCTTCTGCAAAGTCATTTTCTCCAAATGGAAAGCTCTATGTCGAAGGGAAAGGTCTTGCATCTGATTCAATCCTACAAACCGAAATGTATGGCTCAGGAAGTCATTCATCGAAGTCTGATTGGTGTTCTGTGACTTCAAATCCTTTTTGCCATGCAAAAGATTGGGATGATGAGCACTTTCCAGATGATATGGAAAGTGAAAGAAGTAAGAGATGGAGTAAAAAGGAAAATTATTGGCATTTTCCTGATAGTTATGAGATTATGTCGAAGCTTTCCAGCCTAGATAACTGCTTCTCAAGTTGTACAAGCAGTGTGTTAGATTTTAAAGATTCAGCTGATTCTAGCAAAGCTATCTACAAATTCCTTCAGTGGCACAATCAACATGATGAATTTTCTTTACAACAGTCAGATGTATCCACTGGTGAGACAGACTGGCTCCTTTTGGAATCAGGTTCTAAAGAATCTAAAAGGACTGGCAATTACGAAAGGCAAGTAAATCGATCAAGATATAGAGGTTGTGAACAAGATCATGTTCCTAACAAACGATCCAGAAGAAGCAATTCAGCCCCACCATTTTACAGTCAGAATACGAGGTTTGTTTCCTTAAACAACCACTCAATGAGGAATGAAGAAAAACCACAAACTCAGCTGTTCGATAATGGGCTCACTTCTCCAGGTGCTGTTTATGCTTTTGTGCTTTATGTTTTAGAAGGTTCCTGGTAACTAATTAGCCTATATTCTTTGCAGAAGATAATGACTTTGAGCATCTATCTTTCCAGCCTAGTGAAGCGGAGGAAGATTTAACACGTAGCACCAAGTACGATGACTTTTTATATTCCCCACATTTAAGCATTTTTGTGTCCACAAATGTAACTCAGTTTCTTTGTGGGATTGGTTTTCAGATCCAACGTGAAAGACATACCAGATGTCATGCTGAACATGAAGGAGATTCCAAAAGGAAATACAGAGCACTCCCAACAGCCTGAGGCTTATGATTCTTCAGTTGAAGGTATCTCCATTTTTCAGAGCAATAGTTTGCGGTCTTGCACATAAGTACTTGGGATAGCATTGATGATAATAGAGTGAAAATATATTTTATTAGAGAAGCGATTCATGTATGAATAAAATGTGGATAGCAAATCCAAAATCATAATAGAGTGGATGAATTTTATGCTCCTCTTAGTGGGTGTGTGTGCTTGTGGATAAACAGTTTCTGGTTTCACGCAAACTCACTTTTTCAGGCTTTATGCCAAAGGACGCCCACGAGTCAATAGATTATGGGACCAAATGGCAGAATGGCAGCAAACAAATTGCGGTTGAGTATTTTTACAATTTTTTTAGGCTTTATTGTTCTGCAATAAGTTTTCATTGTATAACTTCATTTCTGATCAATGATTTTGTTTTTGCTTTTATATTCTGCTGTTTACAGAATCACATGTCATCCAATGTTGACAGCCAGCGTAACATACTTGACATCTCTTCAGGGTTTTTGCATCTCGCTGGAAATTTATTAGTTCCAGAATCCATTCATAAGAATTGCCTTCAGGATGCCAGAGTTCTTCAGCAGGTAGACAAGAAATTCATCCCAATTGTAGCCGGTGGTACACTTGCTGTTATCGACCAGGTCCATTTACTGCATCTGTTATATCTTCAAAATCAGTTTACTTTTGGCTTGCAATTCTTTCCGTAACTCATTGATATATTTTATGCCATGCAATACTATATATAGTTTAAATATAACGTTGCTATCAAAATTGGTATGGATTTGATATGAACCTCTTCAGAGAGTATAGGGAAAAGGTTATGACTTTATTATTCAACGCATACACTTGTATGCAAGCTCACGAGTACGGTATTGATGTGCATATGAATATGGATTTAGTGATTTACACATTTTCTGCACACATGGCCATGTACACATAGAAACATGCGAAGCTTCAACAACTCTTTGGCTGTATTCATGACTGGTAGATGCCTTTTTTACAGCATGCAGCAGATGAAAGGATTCGACTGGAAGAACTTCGTCAAAAGGTAAAAGTGTTTTTGCAGGTTGCATTTCATTACTGATATATAAAGACAACTAAAGGACTAGTTGAATGACAAGGTATTATCTGGAGAAGCGAAGACAGTTGCCTATCTCGATGCTGAACAAGAGCTGGTATACTTATTCTTCATTAGAGGATATATTTCAACTCTATGGTATTAATGGGCGATTTTTTATATAACTTGAGTTAAATTTGAAATTTATGTCCACAGATACTTCCTGAGATAGGGTATCAGCTACTTCATAATTATGGTGAACAAGTAAGAGAATGGGGATGGATCTGCAATATTCAAGGTTCTGGGACCTTCAAGAAGTAATTTCTGTGTCTCTTCTGCAAACTTCATACTTTCTGTATTGAATTCATTTATCATCATCAATGCAACATATTTTCTTCACCTGATTTTGGGATACATCTGTTTCTACAGGAATTTGAATATTCTCCACCAGCAAACAACCGTGATTACACTTCTTGCAGTAAAGCACCACCTCTTTCTTTTTAATATCATTGGCTCTCTTATTTCCTCTGTTAAAATAATAATAATTATATCAATCTCATAATCTAATCGTAAATCCACATGCATATTTAAGGTTCAATGCTCATCACATGTTGGTTATTTTAGAACTGTTAGAATTATTTCATTTGGATCACGTGCAGGTACCCTGTGTTTTAGGCGTCAATTTATCTGATGGAGATCTCTTGGAATTTCTGCAGCAGGTGATATTGAGATCCTCCATCATACAACTTCCCAGCCTCCTTTCTCTTCCTCTCTTCTTCCAGTACTGCAAGTTATAATTTGTATTTCCTCTTTTTTGTACTGCAATCTTCAGCTTGCTGACACCGATGGTTCTTCAACCATCCCGCCATCTGTTCTTCGTGTCCTTAATTACAAAGCATGCAGAGGTAAGTGCTTAATCTCACTAGAGATGCCTTTTCGTCTCCTCTTTTGACTTTCTAGATGTTTAATCAATATATTGCAAAATTATTTTTCTTTCTTATTCCATTATATAAGGTGCAATCATGTTTGGAGATTCTTTGCTTCCATCGGAATGTTCGCTTATTGTTGAAGAGCTAAAGCAGACCTCACTTTGTTTTCAAGTAAGTAATGGCTAAACTTGTTTCTATCATATGTGAAAGTGAAATGTTTGCATGTTGAATAACTGGGCGAACTTTCCATGCAGTGTGCCCATGGACGGCCAACAACAGTCCCTGTTGTCCGCATGGTGGCATTGCATAAGCAGATAGCGAAGCTTGGAGTGCTAAATGACTCGTGGCATGGATTACGCCGACACGAACTCAGCCTTGAACGTGCTGCACAGCGTTTAAGTGCAGCTAGAGACTAGTGATTGATGAGAAAACAATTAACTGCTTTTGCACACTCTCCGTTGCATCTCTATACAACGCAAAGTCATTCTCTGTTATCTACAGTATAGCACACTTGTAAATATAATAGGCAAACGAGGACGGCGGCTCTTCACACTAATGTAGTACATAGAGAGTGAAAATATCTGCGCTACACTGCTCTTGCAATAACATCTATTTTCGCACAATCTATCAGAGGCTTCCTGGTTAATTCTCCATTTTATTTTGGTTGAGACAAATATGGATATGGATTGTGACAAGATGGTATTTACTCATTGTTACATAAAACTTCTTTTGTTCCACAGTAAACATGCAGATGCGTATGCTTGGATTTCAAAAGTTAGACATAGAATTTTACTTAATGAATTCAGAAAAAGACAGCTTTACGAGTTCATGTCCATCAAAATCTCCACACCCTAAACATTTCATTGGTTTTACTCCGCAAATTTGGTATATTCTATGGACAAATACAAAAGCTCCTGAAGGAAAATCTATTAAACACAAACCAAATAAAAATTATGACGCAGCACATGCCCGTTCATCCTCTTAACTGACAGACACCATGTAAATGTAAGGCACAGATTATAGGCAAAGCATAACCCCGTAATTTGAGCGAAGGTCACGTTCTCATTGCTACTAGACCAACAACCTCACACTAGGAATGCCATGGATTCTAGTCAAGATCTAACAAATTAGTATCTGGAGACAAAATGAGTGTCACCCTGCCATGCCATAGTCCTCTGCTTGATCGTAAAGATTATAGCTTCCTGGCACCCCCATCTTTCCTGTCAGGTGGTCATCCCCTGCATTCATTAATTAGGTAAGCAACAAGAGCATTGCTATCACAGTTACGATACTCAAAATCCCATAGGAACTTTAGTGACTAGAAAGCTTTTACGTTAATTCCATGCTTAAATGGATCAAAATCATGTGGTGGACCTTATATCTCTATGTGAAAAGAATCACCTTAAACAAAGCAACGAAGAACCAAAATACTACTGATAATAATATAACAATGCATTCAAACTAGTCTAAATCATATTCCACAATGTTAGAAAAAAACTCCATCAACGAGCCCTTATCATACTCGGAAGATGCACATACTGCACGAGGACTGGTTTGGTTACAAAGAATAAGGAAAGGCTCAACAGAACTAAGGGCTAAGGCTGTGCAGGAGGAAACTTAAGCTATAGTTTGATCAGAAAGTATATTCTACATAGAGCATGCTGAACAGCTGAAAGTTCACCTAGCCTGCCCAACGGACAAAAGGGAATTGAGATATCAATGTGATCCACGGATTATCATGGTTTATTAGTTAAAATGAAGTATATAACATTGATGTGTCAAAAATTGATCAGGTGGCAGCTTTTAAAAATCTTTCGTTTGATATAGCTTCTATTCTGGATCTACAGCTTATTTGTCCTGTCTCAATGATAGTACATATTGTATAATTGTAGTGTTATACCATAATATTAAAATGTTGTGTTTCCTAGCTATACAGCCACCAACAAAAGAAAATGAACACTTAAGCAATCTACATGCTTGGATTTAGTAGCATACCCAAGAAATGAAGTTCAGAGCTTATCTCAGGGCTCTGGAAGCACAGATCATCAGCTCTAGGAGCGTTCGGTTGGGAGTGAAATATTTCTGGTTTCTTATTTTCATTCAACGAATCAACTTCAGTCTCCACTTCTGATTCAGCATTGTTAGATGATGCAACCAATTGCTTCCTTTTTGATCGAGCACGCCTATTTTGGAACCAATTATAGACATTTGTTTCAGAAATTTGTCCATGCTGGCTGAGATCAGATGTTATCTCCTTGATCTTTTGCTTGCTTGGAGTTCCATTTCCTTGATCAAAGATTCGCTCTAGAATTTGAAGCTGCACAGGTGTTGGAGTCCACCGCTGTCTGGCAGTAATTTTGTGACCCCCAGATGCCATCAGTGGATCACAGTATAGATTTCCCAGCCTGCCTCCTGAAACAGAAAAGGCAATATTTGAACACTGAGTCAAAGCATAACCAGACCTCTCCTCCAGGTATTAAGTTAATTGATGATAACGAAGAGATATAAGCAGGGTATTCCAAATTAGGCATAAAATGGCTAATCTATTGGTATCAGCAATTTTACAATTACATCAGAGCACATGCAAGAACAACTTAAATGTCTTCATATCTCAAAAAGAAGCAGTAAAATCATCAAGTCAATCAGATTTTAGAAGTGAATGATAAACTCAACAAGACAATCTGAATTAGCAACCTTACTACTATTCAACAAAAAAAAAATGTAGTACCATTGTGTTTTGGTAAAATAACATTTGAATTTCATCAACAAATTCCATCAAGATGAAGGACAACAAGAGGTATTCATGCTCTCACATAAAAATAATGCCAAATGAAGAATCAGCAGTGACACCAAAGCTATAGCCTTTTTGTTCATCCAGGAATAAGAAAAAGTAATCAAATTATTTCACATATAATCCAACTCCCTTCCACACATAAAATATTCAAAGCAACCGAATTGTAGCAAAATCAATAAGATACAACAATAATTTGAGTTCACTAGCTTATCAAAGTAGATCCTTCCCTACCAAACCAGTAATTAGAACATAATCTAAAATGACACATTGGTGAATTAAGCAACAAATCAAAGTGTATCCTCAAAAAAGAACCCCAACTACACACAAGCACAACAAGTTCAACTTTTTACTGCAAAAAGAAGAGACACAAAAACATGAACTAAAAACCCTAAAACAAATACGACTAATAATGCACGAACTGACAACCGTAGTACGGCAAAAAAGCCCCTTAGACCAGGTAAAAGTTTGTCACTTTTATGTCATTATTATCAAAATCAAATTGTGTATAGCATCACAGAAAGAGAAGAAAAAACCCATCAAGAAAAAATAAGAAAGAAAGCTAAATAGAAAAACCTGCAAGATCTTGCTGGGCAGAGAGAGTTTTATGCATCTCAACAAGCTGTTCACAAATAGTAGCATAAACAGCAATTTGCTTCCTTAAAGTTTCAAGTTGCTCATCTGTCATAACTTTCACATACAACATATTAGTCGCCCCATTACCATTCATATTCACATTACTCCCATTAATCCCATTTCTACAATCTCTTTGATTTTGATGATTTTCTTGATTGTTATCCCACTCCATTTTGCCTGCTGCACTTTCCCAGTCATAAAACGCTACACTTTCTTGATTTCTTTATGTTTTCTAACAAATGTAAGAGCAGGGAATGATGATGTGAAAAAAGAGAAGGAAAGAGACAGAGAATGAACAGTGAAAAGAGACAGTGTGGGAGAAAGTGCAAACGTTGTTGGTCTTTGGTCTTCTTGGTCTTGGTGTGGTTTCTCATGGACTAGTGCGTGTTTGGTTCTTTTTTTTTTTTTAAAAAAAAAAATGTGCGCTAAGGACAAAGTTAGAACAAGTTATAAATTAGATCCTCTAGTTTTACAAAACAAATTTAATAGTACTTTGTTTTAAAAATAATTAATAGTTTTTTTTTATCAATTTTGATCACAGTTAATTTAATATTTTTATATTATTTTCTCATCAATTTTTTTATTTTTGTACTTATTTTTTATATTTATTAAAAAAAGAAAATAAATTGAAAAATAATGAAAAGAATTGAGTTACTATTAGATTTAAAAATATGAAAACTAATTAATTAATTATTAAAACTAGAGGGACTATATATTTTGTCTTGAAAAAGTAGGGAGTAATTTATAATTTACTCGACCAATTAGGAAGGTGTATCGATTACCGATAATCACGGCTGATTGATTTTTAAATATGTGTTTTAGAGATATTAGTAAATTACCTTAAATTATTGATCATGTGCATTTGGGAGGTAGAGACAAGATGGTTTGGTTTTTGGCAAAGTCAAAAGTTGCAATTGGCAGTTGGCGAGGTATTTAACCACTTTGTATGGTGATTTTGCGGTATTGAATCCAAGGTTCATGTATTGGAGCAGGAGGCAAAAAAAATAAAATAAAATAAAAACATAAAATTCTCATGGTTATTTTGGAATCCAAATCCAACTTATTAGTGATTTTATTTATTTATTGGGTAGTATTTTCAATAAACCTATGTGCATCAAGAATAAGTTTTTTTCTTAAATTGATTAAAAAATAAATTATCTATATTATTTGATAATAAAAATATTTTTGAATCAGATTGCGTTTTAATTAAGAGTAAATTTCATTTTATAGCTATCTTAAAATTGTATGGTTTACATAAATTGAAAATAATTCAATAGATTTGTGTGCCGATCTAAAAAAAGAAACGTACTTCCCAAATAATATATATCATCATTCATGTGAAGATTAACGTCCAAAGTTATCATTGTTGATATCAATAATATACTACTTTGACAGAAAATTTTCCAGAAAACGCTACCGAAAATGATGGAAAGGGGTAACTGAAAAATGTACAAAACAACAATTGTTCTGATAAAATCGGGAATTGGGTTTATTTGAGGTTTTCGAAGGAAAAAAAAAGGGGGTCCCAAGTAAAGATTGGTCGCATTTTCACATAGCAGCAGAGAATGGAATGGCAGACTCTGGAAGGAAGAAAGATTTGAAGCATTTAATGTGAAGGAAGAGTCTAAAGTCAACATGAACAGAAGCAAACCCCAACAGTGTCTTTGACACAAAAGCCAAAAAGAAAGAAAGAAAACATTCTGTACTGTAAGGTTGCCGGTGGCGTTAGTTGGAAATGAGTGGCGGTTAGTTCTTTTGAGCACCGTGCTGCCTCTGCCACTTCCAAGTTCTAACTGACAACACCACCTTTTATTTTCACTTCATTTTTGCCACTTGTCTTTCTTTCGTTACTTTCTTTGCTTAGGTCGGTATCCGCTTAGAAAGATGCTCTGCTCTTCACCAGATTTTCATATAACTCACTACCCCCAGCTCCTTGCCTTAATTATTTATTTATTGTTTTTAATATTCTTTGAAACGGTTTTCTTATGTCCAAATAAAATCACTTTGTACTTAGATTTTAAATATATTATTCACAAATAATATGATGCATTTATGAGAAAAGTTTTTCTCATTGAGTAATGCTTTTTAAATTCTTTCCGCTTAGGAATATATATATATATATATATATATATATATATATATATAGTAGGTGAAAAATGAACATGGAGATGTCTTGCTTTTCCTTGTGTAATTGGGGAAGTTAATTACATGGGCGTGCATGTTGTCTTGTTCTTAGCAAGTCCTTAAATTATATACCCATGCATGTGATTCCCAATCAAGACCTGTGTGCAATTATTACGTGAAAAACAACATTAGTTGTATTTAGAGTATGATCCATGACTTTAGTGTTGTCTTCGTGCAGAAATTCCGGACTGATGGCTTTAATTATATACAATCATCATTCATTGAATTGAATCCTACCCTAGCTAGTGTAGGTTGGTTAAAATCCTACCTCACAACATCAAAACACGTTTGACGCTAACTCAAGACTTCGTGTACCACAAGATTTTTTATTTAACAATTAATCTCGTTTTACTTTACAGAATTATTTGTCTTTGTGATTCTCAAGAGAAAGAGAAGCTACCTTCTCCTCTTAAGTTCTCCTAGATTAATTAGAAAATTGGTCAGCTCTTCATATTATTGTTTTACCGTTCAATTCTTTTTTTAAAAAAAAATCACGAGAAAAAATGTTTTGTAAGTGAATATGCATGAGATGTCAACATCTAAATTTCTTTTTTTTTTTTTTTTTTTTTTGATGAGATTGAAAAAATAATAATGGTGTCCTCTAAAGTTCTATAAATATGAAGTGCAAATACTAGAATTAGTGATATCCGAAAGGTGTATGACAAAACCACTCTAATACTTGAGTACGTATGTTAGGCATACTATTAGGTAAAATATTTAACAAGTATTAGTAAAATAACTAGAGAAGTTTTGTGTTTATGGATGGATTGGTTCTCTAACCGAGTGGTGAGACTGTTATTATTTGAATACTCATATTTCTTGTCCTAATTGTTGGGCTTTTATGTATTTATGTAGTTGCACTTACAATTTGAAATTTATTTTGAAGTTTATGTCATATAGGTTTTGTGCTCGACTTAGGTCGAAGGGTTATCTAGTGATAAGAGAGGAGTTAGCTTATTGAGGAGGAGTGGGATTCTTGAAGAAGGATGGATCCCTAACAAATAGTATGATCTCGCATAAGGGGATATGCTCTCGGATGAAGAATGGATCTTTATCTTTCAAGAAGCCTTATGCCATCTAAATAAATTGATTCACTTTTGGGTCATTTGTTGCATGAGATGTTAAATAATGTTCGGGTGGTCATAAAATTGTCTTGCCCGGTGTATGAGGAGTTGATGTTAACTACCGATCAAGATTGACAATTGAGTTGGAGATATGTTTCACAAACGAGTGTGAAATCATAATATATTAGATAATTCAAGGATCGATTTTGACATCGTCGTTGAACTTAGAGATTGAAGTAAAAAAGGATAGAAGACTATTAAACACATGTCGTTCACACACCAACATACGAAGCGAGCATTTCTCGTATCCTCGTGACACGTGAGGAGTTATCTATTGTCGGATCGGGGCAAATATGGTGGCTTTGGCTTTATCTCGTTGAGAGGAGTTCGTCCGTTTGATGTGTGAGGATGGTGGACCTCTGAGTGGTCGTCCGGTTAGACAATTTTCCTCTCCCTTTTTTTTTTCATGCATCCACTTTTAGGCTCTCTTTTTGTTTTTATTTTTTCATTAATTTGGTTAGCTCTATTACGTACGGGTTTATCCTAGTGATAGGGATTTGTTGATCTCCATAGTTAGTTGATACTTCAAGAAAATAATAAAATATGTGAGAAGTAGGTATCGACATCTAGTGGTTGTCCGGTTAGACAATTTTCCTCTCCCTTTTTTTTTTTCATGCATCCATTTTTAGGCTCTCTTTTTATTTTTACTTTTTCATTAATTTGGTTAGCTCTATTCCGTACATGTTTATCCTAGTGATGAGCATTTGTTGATCTCCATAGTTAGTTGATACTTGAAGAAAATAATAAAATATATGAAAAGTAGGTATCGACATCATGATCGTTACAAATTGGAGGCATGGCCACATGATGGCCTTTTTTATCTAGTTTTCTAAAACCTTTTACATCACATAATAAAATACTAATAAAACCAATAATTGATACTTTCTTTAGAAAGTTATTTGTATATATATATATATATATATATATATATATATATATATATATATATATCATGTAATGCAAATCAATATTATTTCAAAAGCACATGAGTATTGCGGAGATACAATGACAACATAAACAAATAAATTGCTCATCCTCTCCATTGGAAGGTGATGATTATGGAAAATTTATATGTTATTTTTACGATAATATGCTTCTTGAATTAAAAGAAAATATTACCTCATTTGGGTGATGAATCCTTAAGTCAAGCAATGTTATACATCGGATCTAGTGTTTGTGTAAAGATCTAAGATTTGAACATGGTAAAAGAGGAAAAGAACATCTTATTCGTTGGGTTTGAGGCCGAGAAATCCATAGAAAAACTTGATTGTATAGAGAGTTGAGAAATTAACTTTTTGAATAATTTTCACAAATGACGCAACTAAATATTTATGAGATTTTAGCATCTAAATATAAATTGCACTTGATATTTAGCTTTCTTAAGGGGTTGGAAAAATAGTAGTAATTGTGAAAACTAAAAGATTGTAAAAGTTTCTCTATTATTTTTTATATGAATAAGCTATAGAATTTTTATAATTGTTGGATACAACTAATTGATATAAAGATAAGAATATAAAAGCATATAGATAATGATAAGACTTTCTATGCTAATAAAGTGATAATTGTAACAATATATAGTTAGAATACGAATCCTTTAACGACTCCCCATAAGTCGTTGGACATGCCATGAGCCAAAGCTTGTCACACGTGATGCGGGAAAATAAATCGAGAAGTTAACAAAGGCTTGGTGAAGATGTCGTCAATTTGATCAACTATAAAATAAAATACATCTCAAGCTTGGTCGAAGCTATTTGTTTTAGAATAAAATGATAGTTCAGTTCAATATGCTTTGTACAAGTATGAAAAATAGGATTAACTATTAGATAGATGGCATTAATGTTATCACACTAGAGAACAACCTTAT